TACTGAAGTGGCCCTGACCCGTGCCCGGCCCGGCCAGGTGGCCAGCTACATGGCCACGGTGTCAGGGCTGCTCAAGATTGTCCAGGCCTTCGTGGCCTGCATCATCTTCGGGGCACTGGTCTACGACAGCCACTATGGGCGTTACGTGGCCACACAGTGGTGCGTGGCCGTCTACAGCCTCTGCTTCCTGGCCACAGTGATCGTGGTGGCCCTGAGCGTGATGGGCCACACGGGGGGCCTGGGCTGCCCCTTCGACCGCCTGGTGGTGGTGTACACCTTTGTGGCGGCGCTCCTGTACCTGAGTGCCGCCGTCATCTGGCCCGTCTTCTGCTTTGACCCCAAGTACGGCGAGCCCCGGCGGCCGGCGGACTGCCCTCGAGGCAGCTGCCCCTGGGACAGCCAGCTGGTGGTGACCATCTTCACCTACGTCAACCTGCTCCTCTACGCCATTGACCTGGCCTACTCCCAGAGGATCCGCTTCGTGCCTGCCCTGTAGCTGCAGCTGCCGCCTGGCCTGGAGGGGACAGGGTCCGGGCATCCAGAAGCCAGGACTCCCAGGGAGCAGGAGGAGGGGTAGTGAGGCCGGGCACACATGGCGGGCACCGCGGAGGCTGGGGAGAAGCTCCACACTGGGCAGGCCATGGCTGAGGCCCTCCCGGACTTCTGACACCGCCCAGTGGCTTGGCTCCAGGGGGGATGGAGGAGGGACAGATGGAGCAGGGGAGAGAGGGGCAGGAGGCTCTAAACAAGGAGACAAGGGAGGGGCACCAGGTGGCTCCCAGCCCTCTCTCCCTCCGTCTGTTTTTCTCCCTCCATCCCCTTCTCTCTTGCCTTCCGCTCTCTCTATTCTTTTCTCCCTCTGTCTCTCTCGCCCTCCATTTCTTTCTCTCCCCTCTCCGTCTCCCTCCCTCTCCCTTCTCCTCTGTTTCTCTCCCTCCCTCCTTTGCCCCTTTATCTCTCTCCCCCACCTCTCTTCCTTCTGCCCCCGCATCTTTAGCTGTCTGTACGCCTATCTGTCTCACTTCCTCTTTCCCCACCCCGCTTCTCTCTCTCTCTCCCCCTCCCTCGCCCCCCACTCTCTCTCTGTTCTGGCTCCCCCTGCGCTAGGGCTATTGCTCTGACACATGGGAACCTGGAAGCAGGTGCTGTTGTGACCCATTTTACAGATGGGGACACTGAGGCTAGAGGATTCAAAAGGCGGCCCAATGTGCTCATCAGGGTCTGGAGAGCACACTCAGGCTGGACAAGGGGACGGTTCCCAAAGGTTGGGGCGAGGGCCAGGAAAGGCAAGGAGGAGAGCCCACAGCCAGGCCCGTGGAGAGGCAGGACATGAGAGGAGAGCTCTACAGACAGATGGATAGGAGGATGCAGCCAGTGCAGAGAAGGTGCCAAGGCAGATCATGGCCTGCCTCACTTTCCTCTGTGTGCCCCAGGGCCACAGCAGTGGACCCGAGCAGCTGGCCTGGAGGGACCCGTGGTGACCCCAGTACCGCCGAGATCACAGCGAATCACACGCCGAGATCACACGATACCCACCTGGAAACTCTGGTGTATCCCGACAGCCACGGGCGGGCAACCCAAAGGAGGCTGGCCTAGTGGGCAGTGTTGCCATAGGGTGCGGCCCTGGCCAGGGCCAGAACTCAGGGCCCTGGGCAGCTCCCTGGTCCGCACGGGCTCCAGCCTCCTCTCATGTGTCCATCTACCCCTGACCACCAGGGCCACGGGGCTGTCATCCTCCACACTCCAGCCAGCTCCTCGTGCACAGAACCTGACTGGACCAGACCAGAGCAGGCCCCTAGCTACCCACAGTCCTGAGCCCGGCAGGCAGTGGTCACAGCAGCCTTCAGCCGACAGACTGGCCGCTCCAGGCCCTTGAGCAGGAAATAAATACCAACCTTGATTTGCACCTGGCCTGGCCCAGCCGTCTATCCTCAGGGGCTGTGGTCGGCAGCACCCCGGGGCCACCTCGCCGCAGTGTGCTCTGGGGGTTCCCTGGGCTCTGGGGGCAAGTGGAAGGCTGGAGGCTCCTCATCAAAGGATTCTTGAAGCCTCTGAGGAAGTGGCGAGAGTGTCTTCTCCCTCTCGTAGGAACAGGCCAGGGTGGCTCAGAGGGGTGTGCTGGGAGGAGAAGGGTTGGTTCAAGCTTGTGGCCCTCAGCACCCCACCTGCTGCCAGAGGCCTCCAGGGCCGATGCGGTCCTGATGGAGGGGTGCTGGCACCTCGCAGGTCGGAACCCCGGCAGCTTTAGGCAGTGCTCCAACCCAGGCCTGTGTGGGCACCACAAAGAATGTGAGGCCAGGAGGCCTATGTCTGCTGACAACAGAGGTCCACTTGGGTTGCTGGATCAACACCACCTGGCCTGCTGCCCTCTACTAGAAGTGGTAGGCATTCCTGGCAGGCAGCTGCTCGGTCTGCAGATGTCCTGGGACCTCCGCTGGCTGCAATGCAAGGCAGGGGGACATGGTACACATGACGAATCGGCCACCTCTTCCCGGCTCACTGGTCAGGCCTGGACAGGGTCTCGGGAGGGACCCTGGTTCCTCTCCTTCCTTTTTTTAGCCAAACTTCTAGAACAAGGTATTGGTCACCAATTCCCCAGTCTCCTCCTGGTCCAGCCAACTTCTGCCCCAGCTCCCCTCCACCCTAAACTTCAAAGGTCCCA